ATGTTTCTGAAAATGCAACAAGAACTCTCTAAATACGTCCTCTGTAAAGAGGCATTATTAAAAAAGCGTGAAGTTATTTTGAAGGACTGACCAAATTATTTGAGGAGATTTCGTGTCTCATACCAACAGTTCCAGATAACAAATTTCAACAAAATCTGGAGACTGTGATATCTGACAATCTAGAGTTTTCTGTCAAACAACATATTTCTTCACGACAATCATAATATATCGTGATGATATATATCGAAATACTGTTTTGTTCAATTCTTTGTTCTTATTTACTTCAATATAATAAAGGATATTACGTGAGTAATATGAACTTTGTAACAGATTCTGACGTCAGCGTCAAATACTTCGAATGGTTCTCAAATTATCACATTAGAATTAATTCAAGGATTGACAATAGAGGGCTCAGTCAAGCACAAACACAGAAGCACAAACAAACGATCTGCCAATGCAATCATTATATCACTAGTAACACTATGACTAGTGCCGTTTGCAAACCTTAATTCGTCATGTTGATATGGTAATTCTGTCGTTCAAGGTGACATAAAAGGTGTAGCAATAAGAATCATTTAATAGACAAACGATGTGATCCCAATTTAGCCAATGGACTCACTCATCATTCCCAAACGAGAATCATGCATACGAATCATGCACGTTTCCACAAACAAATACAAACTGAGAGAACACTTGGACAAGAAAATCATGTGTTTGAAATGTTACACTTACAACAGGAAATGTACTGTATTTCATGGGTTCTCTTAATATTGAGAAGAAGAAGAGCAAGCTATGTGATGAAAAAAGATTCACATCACACCACACCTGAACTACTCAGCAGTAATAAGTAATATAATGGAGTTCACAGAAAGGTGAACGTGTGAGATAAGTGAAGTTGTAATTTTTGAATTAGAGATGAGATTCATTGCTGATCGTTGCCATTGAGTTCTAGCATGTATATAAAATTAATGGTCACTTGAATAACAGCATATACAAGCGAACAATATTGTTCTCAAATAGATCCTCATCAGGCTTACCCTAATATATTGTAATATTAATATTCAAATACGGAATGATAACACTAATCAAGTCAGTTGAGTCAATGATAACAGTGGAATGGATAATAAAAATATACATAGCAAATGAGAACCACAAATTAATAGAGTGATGAAAGGTGTAGTATTTGTGATACGAATATTATGGGCTTGAATCCACGACTCATGATAGGAAGTTGGTGAGTGACTTGATAAATGTGCAAACTGAAATAACCATGATATTTATTAATCATTTGTGCTCAGGTAATTGGATGATGAAGTGCGTATTTCGAAAAAAGAGGATGGGGCAAGGTCACAAGACGTAAGCGAGCACAGAGTATGAAAAATGATAATGGCAATAATTCTGCAAAAGAAGAGTTTTAGGATCTCTTGGAAGAACATTCAATTCTGCTGGGATTTGTTTTATCTCTTGTAGTCAGCTCATGATTCGAAGTTATATGAAAGATATGTTCCCAGTTTTGGCCGAATCAATGTACATATTCCAATCTACATGCCCACTCCAAATTTGAAATCTCGAGTGCTTAAAATGCGCTCTTTCTTATTACATCTGTGATGTTTCCTCCGTATGACTTTCCAGAGGATTACAGAAGACAGATTAAAGCTCAACTTTAAGCATCTGGTCACTTCTAATCATTTTACTCAAAATAATGTACACAGTTTGGTAATTCGAGGCCGTTATGGTTGCACATAAAGAGCGTATGTACAGAAGAGGCGATTGCTTTCCAGCAGATCAAACCTTAACTTTACATACAGAACAATGTGTTCAATCCCTAATTGCTCCTTGATCATAAACTCCATTACTTTCGTGATCTAACTTCTTTACATTACAATAGGATGGTTTAAATTCAAAAGATAGAACCCACCATGTCACGAATGGGAAGACAGAAAACAAGTTAAAAGAATGCTATTTCAAGAAGTGCTAACTGTGGTACAATATTGTCAGATATTTATAGTTTTATGTAAAAAACGAAATCATCGTTATAGTTCTCTAATCCGCATACAGGGGTTGTTGACATTTGTTCATTAGGAAAGATACGCGTAGAGATTCTGGGACATTCTTTCAGTAAACGGTTGAATGTAAGGTCTTAGGCTCATTCTGAGTTTCTAAGAGCTTCCTCGAATTCACCTGTGGGCCGTTTAATCGAGGGAAAAGTGCAAAAATCATACTAAAGCAGAAGACTTCATGATTTGTCATCATAATTGTTGCTCAACAATATTTACTATGTTCAGGTTTCACTTAACATAAATCACCATGCACGACGGTCTCTAATTCCGTTTCATCGTCAATGCACGAACAGAATTTACGATTCGTTATCCTGATGATGATCCCCACAACCACAATGCACGTTTCACGATTGAAACACATTGTCTCAAAACCGGGAAACTCAATCACAGTAATCCATCAAGCCTATGAATCTTCATCTTGTGCCGCTTAAAGTAGACCACTTTGAATGACTTTCTAAGATGCTCGAAGAATCACAACTGTCAAAAAAATTGTGTTGAATGTCGTCATGGGTTGAACGTGATAGTGTTCAATCTACAAATCTGCAACTCTATTCAGGTGAATTGAGTAGAACACGCAAATCAATGTCATCCTCAAATTCTTCTCAAGAAACACATTCACTCATTCAAGCACACACTAACGTAACACCATTTATTTCAAGTTACATTGCTCACTGCAAAACACAACACAATTTACATAATCCGTTGATCCCATACGCATGACCATTATGAAGAATAGTGGTACGACCCGTCATATTCTGTTTCTGTCCTCATGAGGTTATATGAAGACGGACAATCGACTTGCATGTGGACATGTTTGTATGCGCAGATTAAAGAACTCTTTGAAGCGTGAAGTGGCTTCAGTATTCATGTGAGATCAATGTGCACGTTCATGTATGTTTGATTGCCTTCTACAAAATATTCATTTTCAAAGCTCTTATCTAGTTGGTCATTCCTAGTTCATTCTCATAATCTGACCTTATTCATTGTAGTATAAATATGAATCGGTTCCGTATTCAGTGAACTGGGTAATTCTTATGAAATGTAAGTGTTGATTAACAATTATATATTGACCTATACATATTATTTTGATCATATTTCAATTCCAAGTGTGTTTTATTTCTGTTATGCATATTTCGACATGAATATTCTTATAGAAAATATCATTCAATGATGATATACATTGTAGAACACTGAAGCTTTCTGGTGTGTGTATTTCAATGATTGTGCTTGTTTCACACTCATTCCTTATACTTCAGATATGGATGTTTCAATGTGTTTTGGTGGACAGGGTTTCGCTTGTTATAATGGTGGCCATACAGTCGATTCGACTGGGAATGTGATGTCGGTGACGAAAGCTATCACATTCTATGCTGTCTCTCTAATTAGGAGAAGGCGATTCAGTTGTGTCTGTCATTTTGCACAGTTTTGTCACTCGAGATGATTTGGAGTGAATCGTCTTGAATACAATCTGACTTGGCAAGAAGATTTGTTCCATGGAGACAGGCATGAACACTGCATGAGATATATTATAATGCATATTCACATCAAGTGATATTCTTGTTCCACAGTCACTTCTTGGTTCCCACAATAATTCAACGAATTTAATTATCTAGAAAAATGCTTGCAATAGTATTGATATCAGTGATCATAAAACTTATTGGATAATAATAAAAATGGTTTTGAATGCGATCGTGAATGTGCAATGTTGAGGAGTCTCATACTAGGCGGAACGATCGTCCAATGCTTCCATGTTGGCAATGATGATCTAGCTTAGATGGACTCATGAATTCAACTGTTAGAATAAACTTGTGTTAGGAAAATACAAATGCTCGATATGAATGACTATGGGGAGAATAGGTTCACAGTTTGGGTTCTCTTGTTCCACTGAATTCAACGCTTTCATAGGCGTTCGGAATTTTTCTGAGCATTATTCGCACTGAGTGCGACATACCAAAGTTGTGAGTAAACGAAGAGTTCATACGTGTCTGATCGAATCATTTGTAGGAGTGTTCAATTGAGGTGTTGCAACTTGAACGACAAATGAGATTATGATATGATGCGTGTTGAAAGAGCTGGCATATCGAAGGACATTGTTTTGATGAAATTAATTTGTTGATTATGTTTCAACAAAATGATGTTTAATGTTATTATACACCTCGATGAAATTACACTTCAGTCAATTAACACTAAATAACTCATCATCTTTCCTGTTTAGCTGACATGTTTACAGTGTTAACGATAATTTCGGGAGCAGTCATTCTCACTCTGAACTGTGTGTTGTGTCTGGACAATGGGTTGGCTAGAACACCACCAATGGGATGGAGCACAGTTTATGCACTCGGCTGTCGGGTGGATTGTCAGAGGTATCCAAACAACTGTCTTAATGAGGATGCAATCAAACGAACAGCTGATAAACTGGTATCGGATGGTTGGCGAGATTTGGGTTATAAATATGTGATACTTGATGATTGTTGGTTAGCAAAACAACGTGATCCGAAAACAAATAGCCTTATGGCAGATCCTTCAAGATTTCCAAGTGTGAGTTGATCCATATCGTTTAATATGAAATGTCCACAATTTTTGTATTCTGTTTCAACAATATGAACTTATATTAATCATAAATTAATCAGTTTAACCAAACCACTCAGTTAATTTAAGGCTTCTTCATGAATGACTTCATAGTGTCATTTATAGCCTCGCTAAACTTATCATGAAGGACATAGGTTTCTTAGTGCAAATCGATGTTTTGTAGTAGACCTGATTGGTTATGAATTAGTTTCCATTTGCTTTATTCTTTGTTAAATTTCATAGCGTTCTACTTTTATAGTTCGTATATATTTAAACTTCGAAAATATATTTCGTTTCCAGGGTATTGAATACATTTCAAAATATCTGCACTCCAAAAACCTTCTACTCGGTGTAACTCTTAGTTACGGGGCCATGACATGTGCTCGTTATCCTGGAAGTATAAATCATTTAGAATTGGATGCAAAAACAGTGGCTGACTGGGGAGTGGATTATGTGAAGATGCTTGCCTGCCACTCTGCGGAGAATACTGCGCCAGATGGTTTTGAGAAATTTCACAGATTACTCAACGCAACTGACAGGACGGTAATGCTTTTGTGTACTTATCCAGCATATAGCTATTGGCTTTCAAACTCTAATTTGATTGACTGGAAAAGATTACAAAATAATTGTAATTTGTGGCGAGTGTGGTCCAACGTGCAGAGCAAATGGAGTTCTATAATCGGTATTATTAATAGATATAAACTTCGCAACGATGTTTTTCCGAAAGTGGCTGGTCCCGGACATTACAATGATCCCGATGTGTTAGTCTTAGGATACAATGGACTTTCAAATGATCAAAAGCGAGTTCAGATGGGAATGTGGTGTATGTTCGCTGCTCCACTACTGATGTCAGCTGACATGGACAAGGTGGATGAATTCAGTGCATCTCTGTTACGCAACAAACATTTGTTGGCGATAGATCAGGATAAAGGTGGACATCAGGCGGAATTCGTGAAATCACGAAATGATGTACAGGTGAGCTCATTGCATTAGTTAGGAATTCATCATATAGTCGAATACATAATATGTCTCACTGTGTTGGTAGAATGACATAACCGTATAATGAAGCTCTTATATTTTAAATATAATAATATGTAAGGATAGAGACGAACATTATGGATGAAATATTCAATCTCAGTTTCATAGTTTTGATAGTGTGCATTCTAGCTGTTCTAGCTGTCAAGCTCTGTCACTAAATTCTAACGGAAGTTTACACTGACCATTGCTTCGATTCAATAACATGTATTACCACAAATCAAGTGAAGAGTCAGCATTTATATAGACTAACCATAAATATTTAATAAGTTAGTCTACCGACATGATCATTGTTTTGTTAATGTATCCAATCACTACCGGTACAGCTGCAATTATGTAGCTGTCAAGTATAGCCACCAACTACGTGTTTTCATTACTTGTTCTTCAACTAGGTCACGACATGTCGTTAACATCTTTTTCATTCATCAGTGTACTGAATATTAACAGACGCTTTTCATCTATTCATATATTTCTCTTCATACAGTTGTGGATACGAAAATTAGATAATTGTCCAATTGGTTGGGCAATCGCTTGCATCAACACAAAGGTTGATGGAGGACCAATCGACTTTAGCACGAATCTGGATGAATTCAAATCACAGATGTATATAATATCAGGAGATAAGTTTGAATTACTGGATGTATTCACGGGTGATAGATTCAAAGACGTGAGATTGACAGAGAACTTTACGATTTCCATCAATCCATCTGGAATAATGATGTTTCGAATCATTCCGTTTCATTTGATTACCAGTTTTCAGTAAATTGGTGATAGTTTTTACTAATTGTTCGAAGCGAATTTCGATGTTCTGTTGATTGTCAGATTGATAAGTAACTATTCTCAGGCTAATGGTTTTACAATTCACACTTAATTTGCTCAATTAATGTGAAATTTATTTTACGCGGAAAAGAAATGATTGTAATTCGCCTTTTTTCTTTCAATGTTCTTTTTGGACTATAAAGTCGTATTTTTAACTTGTATCTTTTTCTCTACTGGTGAATGAATGATGCACAAAAGACACCTCAATCGTCTATTGAAATTGTGTGTTGTCTTAAATAGAAGAATATTTACGATAGATCAGATGTGTATCTGCGTGATAGCATCACACAATCTGCTTCTTGACATGTGATCGAATCTGTCACAGAACATCAGTTCCCTCAAGATTACAGGTATATGTAATAAACAGGAGTACTTGAATTATAGTAAAAACTAAAAATCCCAGATATAGCGCAATTGCAGCAAGAAGTATTAGATAAGCACGAACGAATGTGCTGTATTTGGAATTCAAAATCAAGCATTCAACAATTACAACGGAATCGTCACTTCATATAAACATCACCATAGCTTAAATGAGAATTCGAATTTCTGCAATAAACTGTACCTCTTCTTCGTAGGTTCGTCGTGTCTGCCCGACCATGTATTGGATGCAGACTGTATGATCTAGAATATGCTCATTAGTATTAGAATTAACAATCATAGTCGGAACAAACTCACCTAGGTCCCGAGATTGTATACAACAACTATATCGGTTGTGTACCGAAACCACTAATATCTAGAATTTGAACCACAGATTTTCCAACACTATCCTCCCACATGAAATAATGTTGTATCATTATGTCCTCAAGTTGTGAATGATGTGGCTTCATTTAAAAGATATTTCTCAGATTGGTTAGAGTAAACATTGGAAGTAACTTTGTGATAAGGATAAACAGCAGTTGATGTGAAATCATGTGAATTGTAATCAAAATCGAGATCATTTAGTACTCGTGCTTCGCATTGAGCAAGTTTCCCACAAGAAACAAATGCATTATGAGAACTAATAATATTTAATATGACATTAGGATTTGATTCTTTTGAAATAGTTTCTTCGAATTTATTCAGAATATCCCTGCACAGTAAAGAATCATTAGAAAAAGCAGAACCTACCAAAACTACAACAGATTTTCGAGCATGACTAGATTCAGATTTGCAAGGAATTTAATCAGAAATATGGTAGTTGTTAGTACAAACCATATTTGGTACACTAACATGGGGAATCTGATAAGTTGATTAACTAGAACTTGTTTTCTCACAAGGATTTTTGATTTTCGTTTAAATCTGGTCCGCTATGTGACTTCATGGCGACGTTCGAAATAGTAGATAAAGATAAATGATAATCAGAAACACCCAAATTAATAAAATCAGTATTACAGATTTTAACATCAGTTGCAGCGGAACGAACAGTGGTATGACAAAGTGATTGAATTTATTCATATTTAAAGCATTGAGAATTACGAAATACAAACGAATTTAGCAAGTGAAACCTTGCAGAGGACAAACATTGACCAAACATGTGCCCATCTTCGTGGACTGCATAGGAGTTCAACAGTGAATTATCTGGGTAACCTTGAGTACGCACTGGATTCGGAGGACGTAGTAATGTGATAGAATTTTTGATGTCCTAGTATATCATTTTACCAAAACTTTATTTACTGCATTCGAAATCTGTATATTTAACATAATCTAGCAGTGGTTCTTTGAGAGTTGCATAAGTAGGCGAAATGGGCTTTTCTGGTAAATCCAGAGTTTCTTTCCGATGAACCTAAGGGAACGTACCACAATAATAACGTCCTCGACATCTTCCTCGATCATAGCCAAGATTTTGAACCTTTCAAATTAATCCTCGAAAGCATCAAAATCACAGACTACATCGCGACGCCATTCCGATAATAAGAAGTATTAGAATTATAATACGAACTAATAATTCCAGAAATAACGCAACTGAATTAAGAAGTACTGGATAAACACAAACGAATGTACCGTATTTGGAACTCGAACCCAAACATTCAGCAAGTACAAAAGATTCTTTAGTGCATATAAACACCACAGTACACATTGCTGACGAGTGTAAAATAGCACGACACCTAGGACTTAACGAGTAAATAAACGGTACATAATAGTGATGTCAATATTGTAAAATTAAAATTACTTATTATGATGCTAATTAATTGACGTATTTAGTGACGTTTTATACGATTGGCATAGACCATAAGGTTTACAGTTTATGTTTTGTACGAAAATACATCAAGCCACAGTGTTATATGTACAAAGTGTTCTGTTATTCGTCGAGATAGAAATGCCTAATGGCCGATAAATAACATATTGATTGATATTTGTTCGATAAACGTGACACGCCTTCTGATGGAGTTTTGCTGTCTGAGCTCGATGGTTTGGTCCAGGATTTTCCGACGTCCTTCTGAACGACATAATCAGTACAACCTTTAGGTAGAAGTGAAGCGTTCGAATTTATCCATCTCATAGAACAAAACTTCATCAAAATCATTCACTTGAGCTACAAATCTTTCCCACCATCTAAACACGCATTCCCCTGTCCAAATGATTCAGCGATATATTTCCGGCTCATTGTTGTCAGCATAAAGCCGAAAGTGAAACCACTGAGTGGGAGACTAGTTAAAATAAATAAACATAAATTTGATTCTTTGTCAATAAGGATTTGGAACGCTTATCGTAAGTTGGAATCGGTTGTTGGACACTCATTTTATTGAATTTATTACGCGAGACTTTCATGAACTAATTCACAACCAATCACCTTCTTAAAAGAATCATTTCGATTCTCTTCGATGGATACTTGCCGATATGATGATCACTAGCAAACGACATACATGGACAACCATGTTTCATCGGAATCAACCCGTTTTGGATACAATGTACAATTAAGATGAAATTCACACTAAACCTACACAATCTACTACATCGTAAGCAATAAAACATACCAAGTCCTATTCTTTGAACTTTCATGAACTTCCTAGTTTGTAAGGAATCAGAATAATTATATAAACGTGTAGATTGATTGCTATTTGACCATGTTTTCATTATTTCACACAATACAACTGTATAACAAACTCCTCAAAAATCTGAATTTGCATACTACAAAAATGTTATGTAAGAACCACAACATGTAGACTACGTGCCAGTTAACCGATAAGATCTCCCGTAAGCCAAATATCAGAAGGCAGTTGATGGCTGTAGTTGAGGCGGATATGTTGGCGATCTCGTGGTATCGCAAGAATATCGAGGTCGTGCCAAATGAACGCCGCCTGGAGTCCCTCCGGGGGCTACTGCCGGTCCCAAGCCCGGATAAAGGAGGAGGGTTGGGCATAGGGTTAGCGTCCCCATCCCGTAGAAAACTAACTCGCTAAAAAAACGCTAACCAGAAAAAAATATTCAAACCTTTTAAACTCTGCCCTGGGAGTCAGAAGGTCTTCGTTCAGAAGAATTATGACGCCTCATGATGAAAGCCGAATCCGTTCGGAAGTTACGAAGCCGATGCCCCTTCTGTCAACCAGAGTGACCATTTATTTAGATACATGGAATGTTCGTACAATGTGGGACACCGGGAGAGCCTTTCGAATTGCTGCAAAAATGAGAAGATACAACCTAGAGTTACTTGGGGTCAGTGAAACACATTGGACACAAGTTGGACAACAACGACTAACTACAGGAGAGCTCCTGTTATACTCCGGCCATGAAGAAGAAAATGCACCACATACACAAGGAGTTGCATTGATGCTGTCCAAACAAGCGCAAAATGCGCTTATAGGATGGGAATCTCATGGACCAAGGATCATCAAAGCCTCGTTCAAAACAAAGAAAGAGGGCACTACAATGAACGTCACCCAATGCTATGCGCCTAATAACGACTACAATGAGGACGTTAAAGATCATTTCGACGACAGGCTGCAGTCAATCGTCGAGAAGTGCCCAACAAAGGACCTGACCATTCTGGTGGGAGATTTCAACGCCAAGGTTGGAACGGACAACACTGGATATGAAGACATCATGGGACGATACGGACTGGGAGAAAGAAACGAAAATGGTGAGAGATTTGCAAATCTATAGGCCTTCAATAAGCTGGTCATTGGCGGCACCATATTCCCACATAAACGCATACACAAAACCACATGGACTTCACCGGATCACTCTATACAAAACCAAATCGATCATATTTGCATCAACAAAACGTTCAGGAGGACTATAGAGGACGTGAGAACCAAGAGAGGAGCTGATATAGCATCAGATCATCACTTGCTGGTCGCCATGATGAAATTGAAACTCAAGAAGCACTGGACAACGGGGCGGACAATACCACGAAAGTTCAATACGGCCTTTCTTCAAGATACTAACAAACTCAACAAATTCAAGATAGTCCTCAGCAACAAGTTCCAGGCCTTTCATGATCTATTCGATGGAGAAGGAACTACTGTGGAGAGCAACTGGAAGGTGATCAGAGAAGCAATCACTTCAACATGTCATGAGGTCCTGGACCACAAGAAGCACCATCACAATAAATGGATCACTGTTGATACACTGGATAAGATTCAAGAAAGAAGGAACAAGAAGGCAGCAACGAATACCAGCCGAACAAGAGCAGAAAAAGCCAAGACACAAGCTGAATACGCAGAAGTAAACAAACAAGTGAAGAGGAGCATCAGAACCGACAAACGTAAATATGTGGAAGATTTAGCAACGACGGCGGAAAAGGCTGCAAGAGAAGGAAACATGAGACAATTGTATGACACGACAAAGAAACTCTCTGGACATCGCCGCGAACCAGAACGACCAGT